GCAGCATTTATTTAGATTGTCATTATGTTGGAAGAATAAGGGGCTAGACAGATTCAACAGTTACACTCACACTAAGAGACTCATAGCTACCTATAACTCCAGCTCCAGGAGATCCAATGCCCTCTTCTGGCTTCCTTGGGCACACACACACACACACACACACACACACACACACACATGGCACACACACACGGCACACATGCACACAGACACATATACCATAAATAAAAATTTAAAAATAAAATAAAATAAAAGACACCCAATAGATTACATTCATACAATATCACCCATAAAAAAACATGGGCTTTTTTTTTTTAATTGTTCCCGTTCTCTCTTTGATTTTGCTTTTTTTTTGGAAATAAGATCTCAACTCTATCTTAAATTAGCCTGGAACTCACTATGTAGCCTGGGATGACCCTGAAGTTCTAGCAGTTTTTCTGCCCCTTCTGCATACAGGAATTACAGCTATGAACCACCATGCATAGTTCAATATATATACAAATATATATAAAAATGTTTAATTACCAGGCATGGTGGCATAAACCTTTAATCCCAGCACTGGGGAGGTAGAGGCAGGCAGATCTTTGTGAGTTCAAAGCCAGCCTGGTCTACATGGTGAGTTCCAGCAGAGCTGTGGCTACAGGGAGACCCTGTCTCAAAAAGACCAAAAAAAAAGAATGTTTAATCTCCTGAGAACATGCTTATTACGTAAATGAAAAGGTGCCTGTAATCCCAGCACTTCCAAGGCCAAGGCAGGAATCTCACAAGTTCAAGGCCAGTGTGGGTTACATAGTAAGACCCCACCCCTATCATACACACAAAATAATCTTACAAATTTCATATACGGGGCTGGAGAGATGGCTCAGCGGTTAAGAGCACTGACTACTCTTGCAGAGGACCCAGGTTCGATTCCCAGCACCCACATGGTAGCTATGAACCATCCTTGATTCCAGTTCCAGGGGAGTCAGAAGCCCTCTTCTGACCTCCGCGGCATTGCACGACACGGGTGTACTCACATACATGCAGGCAATACACTCATACACATAAAATAAAAATAATAAATAAAACATTTAAAAAAACAAATTACATATACCTCAATCCTGATTTCACTATGTGTTCCTGATTACATGAAGACAAACATACGTGTTTGTGTGTGTGTGTAGAAATGAACAGAGATGGAAATATATAAATGACAAAGCTTTTCTCTTTTCTCTGCAGTAGGATTATGGGTAGTATCAGCCTCTGCTTAATATCTCCATATGTCCTAAAATAACTACCTTGTTACCTTTATTGTCAAAGAAAGCTTCTAATATTGCGCTGATAAAAGTTTCCCTGTAGCATCCATATCCAATAATTCTAGCTCCTCTGTGTCTTAATAAATGTCAACTGAGTGAATGAGAGGCCTCATTCCTCTCCTACGTGGCCAGAGTTACCAAAACCGTTTCCAGAATGCTTATCAAGCATCTGGTTCTGGGCTGAAGTTCTTCCTGTCATACCTTATGACCTCACTAAAACCACCCTGTCAGGGTCTATCATCCTCCCATTTCACAGAGCAGAAAACTGAGGCTAGAGAGGTAAGATATGTATTGCTGGAATTCATGCTCAGCTAGGTCAGACTGACTCCTATGCACAGGCTTCTGGTATCACACATAGAGGTCTCATGGATTTGCACACAGGAATCTGCCCCCACTTTTCTTTAGACATCTCCAACCCTGGCATCCACTCACTAAGTATCCTGCACCCGGCAGAGGCAGAGTGGATGGGGATGGTTTAAGGCTCAAAGAGACCTGAGTCTAAGCTAGACATGGTGATGCACACCTGTAATCCCAGCACTTGGGAAGTAGAGACACAGGAATTCAAGGTCATCCTTGGATATATAGCAAGTTCAGGGCCAGACTGGGCTACATGAAACCTTGTCTCAAAATAAAACACCTGGGCTTGAGTGTCCAGTGCACTTGCCTTGCAGTGAGAGGCACTTGCTCCCTCTGAGCCCATGTCCTCATCTGTGGATGAGAACAGAAAGTCCCACAGCAGGACCGTAGCTCAGCGTAGAGAAGCCTTGTTACCCGGTAGAGCCTCAGTGTCCTTGATGACTCCTCCCCACTCATCCAGTGTGTCTGTGAGTCACACACACTCCCCAGGGAATGATCCAAAGACGTAGGGCATGGCAGGTTCTGGGCAAGGCCAGGAGGCCCTAGTTGCTGCTCACCCTTCCCTTTCCCCACTTGGTTTCACCTGAAGTCATTGGGCCAGCTTCTGCCTTCATGTTAAGTTGAGCAGCTCTGAGTTTCAGAAAGAGGTCCTGGAGGCTTGGAGGAGAGTTTCTGCTACCTGTCCAAGGTCACAAGACTCCTCCTATTGTTAGGAATCAGCCTCCCTGGTTTTCCCAAATGCAGTCTCTACCCATCTGGTCCACCCACACACCAAATCCATCCTCTTGACCACCACTCTGCACAGATGGCTCTCAAATCCTCCTCTCCTGAGACCGAAAGCCCTCTCACTTCCCAGCATGGCTGGCCTTACTGTGGGGCCAAGGACCTGTCTGTCTGGCCTCCAATCCCACACCCAGACTAGCAGCTAGAGACCCAACAAGTATCTTCCCCCAACACAGCCAAACAGCTGGTCTCTGAGCCTCTCCTCAAGTTCTCACTCCCCTCCCTGAGATCAGCTCCCTGTCATTGCCTAAGGCTGGTCCACAGAACTCCTCCAACACTGGCATCTTCCTGGGAATTCTGGAGGGCAGGGACTAAGTCCGCAGACTCATCACTGGCTCCCAGACACCACTGAAGCTCAGTACAGCAGGGGCTTTTAGCAAAGCATAAAGAATAAGGCACTGCTTAGGAGGCTTTTGTCCTTGCTGCTTTTCTGACCTCAAAGCCACCAAGACCTTGGTAAACCTCTCTGCCCTCTCCATCACCCACTGGACCTTCCATTGCCCATGCTGTTCCCTCTGCCTGCCAAGATGCCCCACCCCCATCTCTCCACAGAGTCAACTGCAGCTCCTCCTACACCACTCAGCTCAGGCATCAACTTCTCTGGCTGAGTCAAGAACCTGCCCTGGATCCCACAGCCCCAGGGAGCTGCACTGCATCCTGGAGTTGTAACTAATCTGGAGTATGGCTATGTTAGGAGCTAGAGGCCATAGGAGGCTTGTGCTCAGAGTCTGAGTATCGGAAGCTGAGGCTGGACAGGCGTGACAGTGATCAACATCAGCAAATAGACTGATTAAATGTGCAGCCCGTGCAGGACATGGGACAGGGACCAAGGTGGAAACTGTAGACAGCCAGTTTCAGCAGCCACCCACTCTGCCCACCTGCAGCTGCTGCAGTGTGCAGGTTAAGCATGGCACACATTAAGGGCCTACCGTGCCATGCTGTCATGCCCAGGTGCCATGCAGTCAGTCCTGCATGAGTCCATTTAATCTTCCCAATAACCTATCATCATCAGTCTGCTTTTACAAAAGTGGAAATGGGACTCAAGGACGTTAAGCTGTTTGGCCAAAGCCACACCAGTAGGATGTGGTGAAGAAGGGATGGAAACTGGACACTACCTGACCCACAGTCATGACCTTTACCTCTGAACTGTGTCATCACTGGAATCTCTCCTGGCCTGGACCCCCAACCTGGGCAAGAGAGGAGACAGGGGCAAGGAGGCCCTTGCTGAGTCTTCCCTAACATGACAGGGTTCTGCAAAGGTGAGGCTTGAGCAACCTTCCCAGCAGTGTTGGGCATCTTGGCAGCAGACAAAGGGGACAACCGGAACCTCTCATAGCATACAGAGCCTGCCCATGCTGCCTGCTGTGTGCTACGATTACCTCAGTGAGAGAGAAGAGACTCTGCTTTACTGACATCACTGTGCCCAGGTACAGACCAGGTGAAGGCATTTTACTTATTTATTAATGCATACAGTACTGGGCTTTGCACATTGGTGAACAAGCACTCTACTACTGAGCCACCTCCCCCCTACTCTCTCCCCCCGCCCCAAGGTCTCATGTATCCCATACTGGGCTCTAGTTCACTATGACCTCAAACATCTGATCCTCCTGCCTCTACCTCCCCAGAGCTGGGATTACAAATAAGCACCACCCCCTGCCCAGTTTATGGGGTGCTAGGGATTGAATTCAGGGAGTCATGCGTGCTACACAAATACTCTACCAACTGAGTTTAGTATCCTAAACCTTTTTTCTATTTTTTTTTTTTTTTTTTTTTTTTTTTTTTTTGGAACAGGGTCTTGCTGAATTCTCCAGCTAGTCCTAAACTCATTCTGTAACCCAGTCCTTGAGGAGGATAAGCCTGCCCTAAATCATATCTAGAGTTCCTGACCACATGGCCACCGGGGAAGGGAGCAGAGAACTCACTGGCCAGGGTACAGGGCCCAGGGCCTCTCCATTGGAGACTACACAGGGCACAAAGACAGGTGCCCAAAGGGACCCTAGACGCCTCCCTCCCCTTGGGATTTCAGAGGTTTGACAAGAAATAACCCAAATATAGTCTCAGACAGCATCACAAACTGATAGCTTGGGACAAACACACCAACACACAGTCCCCTAAAATTATCATCGAACGTGACTTGGGAAGTGTCCCCACAACATGGAGCTGACACCCAAAGCTCCTGTCCTCACTGTCTGCCCCAAAGACCCAAGGCTCCACATGTAGAGAGAGCACCTCCTCGATCCGGTGAGGTTTCAGAGAAGCAAACCTACACTGGTCCTGTCACAACTGCCCCCTCACAAATTGTGACATACAAAGTGTCGCTAAACTGTCCCACAGCCCTGATGCAGAAGAAGGTGATGCCAACAGATGATTGTATGTTCTATAGTAAGACAAGTGCAGGCACGCACATACACATGAGCCCTAGCCCCATCACAGAGGAACCGGCCTCCCCTCTGGGCTCTGGGAGGGCCTGTAGAAAGTGCAGATGACAGAGTCGGGATAGGGGATCCAGGTCTCAAATTATGGTGTCTGCCCTGACCCCGGGACCCTGGCCAGACACAGACTCACCGGACGATGCCAAACATGACGAGCACGTTGCCCAGCAGCCCCACGGCGCACACCGCCGAGTAGAGCGCGGTGATGGCGACGGCCAAGGCGAGGGACGAGGCGCTCCGGCCGCCTGGCGGCCCCGACGCATTGGCGCTGGCGCTGGGGAAGGCGCTGGGGAAGGCGTCCGAGGCGTTGGCGAGGAGCAGGGACTGCAGCCCGACGCGGGCGGAGGGGACGGGCTCCATGGCGGCGCGTCCCTCTCCACCGTGCGCCCTGGGCGCAGGGACCCGGCGAGGGGCGCAGACAGCCGAGGCCGCGGTGCTGATGCGGTAGCTTGCTCTGGCCTCCTTCACCTGCCTGGCCGCCCTGCGCACAGCGGCCGCCAGCTCTCCTCGCCCGGAGCCGGGGGAAGCCAGGAGCCGCAGGAGCCGCCGCGGACTCCTCGGACGCGCGCACCACGTGGCCCGGAGGCGGCCACCAGTCTGCGCCGGCGACTAGGGGCGGGCGCTGCACCACCCGCTCGGAGCTGGGCTGGAGAGGCCTCTCCCGCGCTCCCTAGCTCCGCGGGTTCCAGTGCGCCCCCAGCCCAGCCAGCTCGGCCTCCCTTCCGACCCTTTGCCACTTGGGATTCCGAAACATCTGGATGCGAATCCTGTCTCCCGCCTCTGTCCTGATCGGGGGTAACCTTGAGCAAGTCGCTTAAGCTCGGTCAAGTTCATTCTCCGTATCTGCAAGATGAAGAAATCCCCCTACCTCCCTTCAGAAGATTTGAGGAAAATTAAAACGATGGAGTTAAGAATCTGTTATTTCGTGTCCTCTGTGCTTGACTCCCATCCTCTCCAGGCCTTCTCAGAGAACTTGAAGTGTCAAGTGGTTCCTGACCATGAAACAAAAGCAAAACGGTCCGGTTCCCCCAAAAACACCCGAAAGAAAACTGCTAATAAAATCAGGTACAACTCAGTTACACTGGAAAAGTACCCGGTGGGGTCTGTGGAATTGCACAGATGGTGAGCATAGGTCTCCGTATCAAGTTCAGTGCTCTCTCAACACACCAAGCTGAAAAGTCACCACTGTCTGGACACTTAGAGGTTTTTACTGGAAATATGACATTCCTGTTTGTTTCTATGCGCTGAGCTAGTAGGTTGCTTCAGCAATGAGAGAGAGAGAGACAGAGATAGAGAGAAACTCAGTGCCAGGCACACCATAAGTGACCCACAAATAACTATTATTACCCATGCCTTTCTGCACTCCATTCATTAGCTCCACAAATATTTTGAGGGTGCCTGATGTATAAGAACCAAGTACTATTGGGATCCATTGGTTTACATAACCAGATGCAGCCCTTGCTTATATAGCTCTATGGGGGAGAGAGGCATCAATCCTAAAAATCACAGTACCAAAAATCATGTTGAAGAAAGGGCCAGGTCTAGGAAACCCAGAAGTTGGGACAGCATCCCTAAGGAAATGACACTTGAAGTGTGAAGCTGGGAGTGGAGGAATTAACTAAGGAAGTAGAGAAGAGCATTCTAAAATATGAACCACATGTGCAAAGACCCTATGGTCAGAGGGAGTGAAGAGAGCCGGGGAGAGGCTGCTGGAAGTGAGGGGTGAGATGCAGTGGTCTAGGAACAAACAAAAGGAGGGTACCTAGCTAATTCTTCCTTCCCACACCCCTTCCCAGACCCGAAGAGCCCAGACTCTGAGCCATCTTTTCCATAGGTTTCCCAGCCTTTCCAGAATAGTCTCTCTACCAAGCTTTTGTATGACTGTGGAGTCTGTTTCTATTCACCTCAGAGAGAGAGGGCAAGGACAGACCAAGGAAAGGATCTAGCAAAGCCTAGTTTGGTAAGCCAATAGGTTTAGTTGGATTAGTTATGGGAGCATTGGTGAGGAGTTACTTACAAGAGGATGAATGACCAGGGCAGCTAAGTCACCAAAAAAATCCTCCCACTCATGAGTGCCAGCTCAAGGGAAGCTGAATCACTAGAGCCCACTGAACAACTCGTAGGCAGTTCCACGGAATTCCTCTTCTCCAGCAATTGCTTACTGGTTACATGACCTGAGCTAGGGTTGTCAAGAGTCAACTATAAGTTTCCTGAGCTTCCCATGTCTTGTTTCTTATGAGTTTCATGAGCCCTCCCTCCCATTCCACCTGCCAGGGAATTAATTCATTTAGTAACAAGGTCCCACTTTATAGCCCTGGCTAGCCTGGAACTCACTGTGTAGAATGGGTTAACCTCAAACTTATAGTGACCCTCCTGTCTTTACCTCTTGAATGCTGGGATTACAGATGTGAACCACTATGCCTAGCACTCAAGGGAATTGTTTCAATCAGAAGGAAACAACTCAAGCATTACTCTGTTCCAGGTGGCCTGGTAAGTACTTTATGCACACATCGTCGCTTTACAGTAGTCTGTTATTAAGAAGACTGAGGGTTGGCACTAAACTATCCTATATGGTAACTATTTCTAGATATTTTCTCCTTCCAGTGAGGGAACCAAGCCTGATTGATCCCTGCACCCAAGACAGAGCTAGGGTCACGTTGGGTGCTCAAGAACCGTCATTTGGATGATAAAGATTCCAAGGAGGATTGGTGTGAGACCATATTGGGCTTCCTTAGCTCCATGTGCTGAGTGAGAGTAGGCAGGGCAGGTCCCCTCCCCCACATCACCGTCAGGCAATAGTCATTTATCAAGACACTCTTTCCCAGGGGCTGGACAGAAGGCCAGAGGTTAATTAAGAGCATGTACTGCTCTTACAAAGGACCCAAGTTCAGTTCCCAGAATTCACATTGGGTGGCTCACAGTCACCTATAACTCCATCTCTAGGGGATCTGAAGCCTTCTTCTGAACTCCATGTGTACCTGTATACATGTAGACATGCCCGCGCGTAGGCACACATACATACACATAACTAAAAATAATTCTTTTACATCTGTTCATATCTTAAAAAACAAACAGCCACAATTTCCAAGCCCATCTTCCTCTCCGTCAGTAGCCATCCGAGCTCCACAATCATCTAGAGTAAACTGGCCCCTAAGGCTTTCCCACTAAGTCATCAAGGACTTGTGAAACAAGATATATATATTTTTTTTTTGCTGTGTGCATACATGCTGCTGAATAGCAACCCCATTTCAAAGGGCCTGGATTGGGATAGGGAGAGAAGGGAGACTTCACTGGACTTCTGATCTCTCCCTACCCTTCCAACAAGTCATGCATTATTGTTATTTTTCACAAGTTCTTTTCCTTCCACTTGAAAGGCTAAGATACTTCTCCAGGCTCTTAATATCCATTCTTCAAGTTTCAGCTTACTTTCTGGGTTAGGGATATAACTGAGTGGTACAGTGCTTGCTTAACCGGTATAACCCTGAATTTGGCCCCTAGCACCTCAAAAAAAGTATGTAATATCTATTCCTTTGTAAAAATCTTCCCTGACACCCTTACACCCATGCACCCCTCCAACTAGGTCAAGCTGGATTAGTCAGGGTTCTCTGGAGGAACAGAACAGATAGAGTTGGTATACATTGAAAGGGGACTTATTAGACTGGCTTACACAAACTGGTCTGCATAATCCAACAATGGCTGTCTCACACCAGAGAGAATCCGGTCTTTGTTCAGTCCACAAGGCTAGGTGCCTCAGCAGTCCCAGTCTGGTGGGAAAGACCTGGAGGATTCCAGGAGAGCTGCTGGTCTTCGTTCCACATTGGAAGCCTGAAGAAGCTCATTCTAACATCTGTGGAAGGAATCAACATGGCAGCAACAGGGTAGAGTACTCACCAGTAAGAGTAAAGCCCAGGTGAGCATAACAGGATGCCCTCCTTCCTCCATTTCCATTTACCTGAGCACTACCAGCAGGTGCCACCCACATTTAGGTCTGGTCTTCCCTTATCAATTAAGGCAATCAAGACAATCCCCCACAGACATGCCCAGGACCAACCTGATGTAGACCACACCTCATTGAGACTCTCTCCCTGAGTGATTCTAAATTGTGTAAAGTTGACTATTAAAACTAATGATCATGGACTGGAGAAATGGCTCAGAGGTTAAGAGCACTGACTGCTCTTGCAGAGGACCTGGGTTCGATTCCTAGCACCCACATGGCAGCTACAAACCATCCTTAACTGCAGTTCCAGGGGAATTCTGACCTCCACAGCATTGCACAACACAGGTGCACTCACATACACATGGCAGCTAACAACTGTCCATAACTCCAGTCCCAGGGGATCTGACAGCCTCTTCTGACCTCCGAGGGCAATGCACGACACGGGTGTACTTACCTACATGCAGGCAATACACGCACACACATAAAATAATAAATAAAATTTAAAACAATAAAACAAAATTTAAAAACTAACAATCACGAACCTTGTTATGTGGTGCCCTGGCATCTCACGCTCCTCTTTGCATTGTTTCTCATGTGTTTCTTTGTTGTCACCACTGGATTTTGTGCATCGCCTTCACAACTACTCCTTTTTTTTTTTTTTTTTTTTTTTTTTGATGTTTCCTGACAAGGTTTTGCCATGTACCCAGGCTGGCATTGAACTCAATATGTAGTTCAAGCTAGCCTTGATCCTCCTGCCTCAGCCTCCCAAGTACTGGGATTGCTTGGTGCACAACAGCTCTGTCCATTTCTGTCCTTCCACCTTGTCATGCCCTCAGTCCTCTCTTCATAAGATATGGGGATGCTGTTCCTTTGACAAGGCGTCAGAGTAGGTAGAGCTTGATACAGTCCTGAGACATCTCAGCAACTAAAACCTTTTGCACAATAGACTCTATGTTATAGATTGGATTGTCCTCCAAAAGCTAGTGTGATGAAGACTCGTGTTTCCATGCAGCAGTGTTCAGAAGGGAGCCCCTGTGAGGCGACTGGATCATGAGGATGCTTACCTCATCAACAGATCGATCCACCAGTGAATTCATAGCTTGATAGGCTTCAGGGAGGTGGTGGAAACTTTAGAAGGTGAGGCTTAGTTGGAGGAAATAGACCACTGGGGATGTGGCCATGAAGGAGAAATTTGTGCCCCCCTTCTTTCCTTTCTTTCGGCTTCCAAGGCAAGCAGCTTTGCTCTACCGTGATGTTCTGTCTCACCACAAATAACCGTAGACTGGACTTTCTGAAGGCAGAGCCAAAATAAACATTTCCTCCTTTATATATATATCAATTTGCTGGTGTTGAAGATCAAACCTGGGGCCTTGCATGTGGTAGGTAAATGTCCTATCTTTGGGTTATATCCCCAGACCCTAAAGTTTCCCTCCTTTAAGTTGTTTACCTCAGACATTTTGTCACA